GCCTTAAATTGACATTGTCTACAATTCTACTCAAATTAATCATATTACAAATTTTTCTTATCTCTATCTCTGAATTGCCCAGTGATATGGGTGCTCATGCTGCTTATTATCTAATAGCCCAGCAGCGGCCTTTTGGAACAGCTGTAGCCAATGAAGAAGACAGTTATCCAACCATCCACAAAGAAAACTGCAATAGATGTAATAAAAACACTCTAGCACTTTCCAGGTCACTACAGTATAGGGTAAATAGGGCACCGGGACACTGACCTGCCAATCAATTTTAAACCATTACATTAAAACAATGAAAGAGTCAGAACAGTTGTTAAATTTAAAAAACTCAAATAAACCAGCAACACTGCTGTATCCTGAGAGCTTAAACTACAATAATGTATGTCTTGTTTAATTTAATTTAAGGAGTTTTAAAGTAATAAAGAGCATACCAGAATCTGTTTCACAACTGGCCTCCACTGACTTTCAATGGGATAAAACTGTCAGATCATTTGCATAAAAAAAGAAAAGGACAACCATATTTCCTATGCATGAGCTCCAAAGGAAACATGTACACAGTGAAAAGTGAGGGCCTTCAGAGGAGCAAAATCCAGCCAGTTGTAAGGAAAAACCTCTGCTAGAGAAACAATTTAAGTACTGCGCCCTTAAACCCAAAAGACTGACCCAAGCATCATGGTCCACCATGTCAAGAAAGCAGGATTATAACACAAAAATCTCTTGAGTCTCCAGTTAATAGCAGACCACTAAAACTCTAAGGCAAGCTGTTTTTAAACTGGGACATAAATTTGTATTTTCTATGTGGGACAATAGATGCATTTATATTCTCTGCTACATGTTATTACGTATGTTATTTTACTGTAATGTCTCATTTTAACTATGTATACTGTTTTTATTATACGGTTTTGTTTTAACTATGAATTTTGTAGCACTTTGAGATTTTTTTTTAAATGTAAAGTGCAATACAAATAAAATGTATTATTATTATTATTATTTTTACAAAAGATCCAATATATATTGGCATTGTATGGTTATTGGCCTATATTGATTTAAGAATATCAAGATTGGCCCGATATGTAAAACTAGACCAATATTATCAACCGATGTTTATTTCTGCTGTCAGTTTTTCATTGTGTTCAAAGGGTAGAGAAACATATGATATATGGTGAATATTGTTTATTGGCCATAATGGCAAAAATAATATTGATATTGGTTTAGATTTTAATATTGGTGCATCCTTACTTTTTTAGAATATTTCTCCCTAACTGGGTCAGGTCAGCTTTTCTAAAAATAAAAAAATAAAAAAAATATGATGGCTTTATAATTCCTTGAAGAACTTCTTATAATTCAGGATTGCATCTGGTATCGGAGCAGACAGGTTTAATTATTAAGGTGGGAACCTGTGCTTTAAGATTTTCAAGCTTTTTGGACCATTTGAAAAATACCTATGTGTGAACGTGTGTGTCTGTGCCCAAGTAAGTTACCTTGTGAGGACAGTGTAAGGCTAATTTCCCAGGAACATGCAACTTTTTGGAGACTTACAGGTACTCAACAGTAATACTTTTTGACACAGCTGGTCAATGCCACAACCCGGCCTTCCCAGCAGCAGAACCACCTAGCACCGGGCAGGAAAAACCTCACAAGTGTTCCTAACCTGATAGGCAGCCATTAGCAGAGGCAAATGGCTTCCCCTCAGACAGGTCATGGGAGCAAAGACACAACTAAATTGTGGGTCCACCTCTGTTGCCAAAGCAAAGGAAACATTTAAACCTAGTTTACCACCAATGAATCCACAATGTTGTAACATAACCCAAGCACCCTGCAAAATCACCACCCCATCAGGCTTCCCTCCTTTAACCCCATTAGAGCCAAAATACCTAAGCTGAACCAACATTCTCCTCTGAGTCATTGCGGGTGTGTAGGGAAGTTCAAAATTAAATTCTCAGGGAGTTCCTTTCGAAGCTGGAAGGCTGTTTGCTGTTTATCTGAAGCTGGAAGGCTGTTTGCTGTGTATCTCTTGGAATTTGGTATGGAATTTCAACAATCCCAAAAAACGACCTTGATGAAAGATTACAGATCTTTGAACAAAAAAAACGAACAAAAGCAACCAAAAGTGAATTTTGAAAAGTGAATTAGGTGTTTGTTGACGCCTAAACATTGTGTTCGGTTTGCCTGGGTTCATCAGAGTTCTCTGTGTCAATCCTTCATCCTCCTGCGACACTATCTTCATCAATCCGCGGCAAATTTCAACACTTCTCTGACTGAACGCTCAAAAGCACAAACAAACACAGGTTTTAGCCACGTCTACAATAAATATCAATTGAGATTCTACGTATTTATTGTTTATTTCATAATTATTGGTGAGAATATTAAATGTTTTAATGTCATTTATGAGTTAAGTTCAACAAAGTGACACAGCAAAAAATGTTGAGAAAAATCTTTAGACCAAATAAGAACGCGATGGACCTGCACATGCCGATAACTAACCCAGCATGCTATTTTGTAAAATGGCCTAAAACATGGAAGTGGCAGCATCATGATGCATGAATGTTTTTCATTATCATTAATAGATGGAGCTCAACACAGGGTAATCCTGACTGTGAGCCTGTAAGATGCTTATCTGATGTTATACAAAAACCTTTCAATCTGAAAAACTCACACGGAAAGAAAAGACAATTAGAAGAGTTTTATTGATAGAATTACTTAAGTCTTTGGTGCTCAGACCTTGGAAGGAAACACTAGCGCAGAATTTGCTTTCATATGCATAAACAGGAGTAAATAATAACAGGTCTGAAACTGGTGGTGAAGTGGAGAGGATAAAGTTGGTCAGTTCATGATTGCTAGCCAGTGAGACTGTGTGGGCTGCATGAGCTGATACTAGTGCATCAATCTGGGATCTGGAAGATGGAAGTCCAGCTTGGATAACATCGGAAGGTAAACCTATCCATGATTAGCAAGCATGAAGTGACAGTGGAGAGGAAAAACTCCCCTTTGGGAAGAAACCTCTGGCAGAACCAGGCTGTCTTTTGTCTTTTGTGAATTTGAGTCCTTTTAAGATGAACTATGGATGCTGGCTGATCCGTGACGAAGGCGAATAGTAATGGTTTCCGCCTAGGTTCCATTTTTAAAAACTCCAGACATAAATCAATAAGCGATCTCTACCGCTGCCCTTTCAAGATACTCTCCATCCTATTAGTCTGGGCTTCAGCTATTTTTAAAGAAGAATGGGCAAAGATTCCCGTTTCCAGATATGTAAAGCTTGCAAATACATCTCCAATAAGACTTGCAACCAAAATTGTGGCAGTAGATGATCAATATAGATGAACAACAGCCTGCTCCACTATCGACTAAGGGCAGACTATTGAGTTTTCTGAGTTGAAATTTGAACGCTACTATGTAATACTTTAACAATTTGAGCAGTTTTTCTTTTCTTTTCTTTTTTTTTTTTAACAATATTACATTTTATGTTTAATGGTGTGATCATAGCAAATAGTATAAACAGCTGCAATGCAAAAATGATCCAGAAATAAGTCAACATTTCTTAAATTAAGTGTATTTACCCTACCTTTGGGCAGGTAAATAAGATGATCTGTCAATGGAATGAGTATTTTTACCCTTATTAGATAATTAGATAATATGCACTTGAAATAAGACAATGCAATTGTTTTTTTTTTCTCATTTTAAATGCAAATTGTCTTGTTCCATTGGCAAAGTTTCACACTTACCTCCTCAATTCAAGAAAAAAAACGCACTTATTTTAGGAAAACAATGACTTGTTGAGATTTACATTTTTTACCAGTGTGTCATGTTGTGAGATTTAGAAAAAAATATATAGGATAACATCAAAGCTTCATGCACAGTGTAAGCATGACAACCTTAAGCAATTGCGCAATACATAAATGACATTTGACCAAAAGGCAATAACACTGATGGTTTTATAATCCTGTATCAGTGCAGGATCACACTAGTGCTTGAATCCACTACTCCCAGAGAGATTTATGAAGTCTGCAGCTCCCGTTCAGTGCGCAGTGCATCAGCAGAGCGCCAGCAGCTGGCTCAAAGGACGAACAGCAGGTTGCCAGACTGAGCCTCAGAGCTATTTTAAACCGATTTCTCTCGTTCAAAAAAACGGTGATGTCAGCAGAGACTGGTCTACTTGTTGGATGAATCTCATTCATGTGGTAGTAAAGTCCTCTCTTTGCGAGGACGGAAGTTAAGTCACATGCGCATTGACGAGCTGGAGGGCTGCGTAATGGAGATCGTGGGAAAGGACAATAATTTGTGAACTGCGTACGGGAATGCCAGGAGGGAAGCGTTGGTTTGATACCCCGTGAGGGCACCCAGGTGGATCATCTGAGCAGCAATGAAGACGCACCCAGCAGCGTCTGTTTCCAGCTTTAGCGCGCACGGACTATGAATGAGGAATGACCAATGGTAAGTAAAGCCTGGGCTTCTTAAGCGCTCTAAAAACCAATCCGTCGGTGACGCACAAAATAAATTTACCCCATATTTACCCAGTAAATGTTAGGATAATTTTAACACCCAAGATTACAAAAAAATGTAGTTTAGATAAAAGGCATTCATTAAAAGGAAGGTGAAATGCAACATTACAGTGCCAGAGACAACTTACCCACAGCCACAAGCGTGCGCAACCGTCTCTCTGCCTTCTCAGCCGAGCGACTGGTGCAGTTGCTATAGGTTGTGGACTTAAATGGCTTTCCAAACAGGGGAATTCCGTATGAATAACTTCCCATCTGCCAGTCAGAAGGAAACTGATAGTTTCGGGATTTTGTCTTATTGGAAAGTTGTTATCAGGTTTACAGGAATAGAGGACGCGCCTAATAATCCTCGCCAGCTGAGATTTACAACAGTGGAGATAAGAGATAATCACAGTTAGACATTAATATGAAAATAACCTGTAAAAAAAAATTGTAATGCAAAAGCGTTGGTAGAATAACACTTATTTCTAAATTCATTGCATAAGAGCCTACTAGTTCTGGTGGATACATTTAATCAGACTTTAGTGTTAAGCCTGGTTAAAAGCTCACTTGGTAACTCCATTCTTTACAACTGGAAAAGTGTATCAATAAAATTGAATAGTTGTAGCTCTGTTAATGTTATGCAAAATGTTTTCATTAAATGCATCAGATGAGCTACCTTTACATACTGTAGGCTATAGAGCTGGAGCGGTGCGACCTATCTCTCTTTGAAGTGCGCTAAAATGTAAAGTAGGTGTACTAAATACAGGAACTTACAGCTATGCTGATGCACATTCTAAAGTAGCTGCATCCCATTCATTTTTCCCCCATTGTTTAAAAGAAAGCCTTAACATTAGTAGCTAAATATATTACAGCAGTTTTTTTTTTTTCTTTTTTTTTTTACAAGTATGTTTTTTTTTAAGGTGACTAAAAGTTGAGTTTGTAAACCTTCCAGGTTCTGTGTGATAAGTAAAAGCTTCCTATTCCTAATAACTGGTTTTGCCACCCTTGGTAGGATCAGATGTTTGCAAAAACTGGAAACAAGTCTTTCACATTGTGAAGGAAGTTTGTCCACTTTTTTTGCAGAGCTGCTCTGATTTAGCTCCCATGTTGTTTTTTGTATAAACAGCCTGTTAAAGGTCACCCTACAGCATCACATAGGTATGGGACTTTGACTAGACCACTGATTCCCAAAGTTGGGATCAACACTTATATTAAACTACACAATAGAAACGATAACTGTTTTTTGCTCATATAGATAAAACATCACAGCCATCACCTTGATTAATGCTGTTTTTGTTACTATGGGTACCTGGTGAAATGTTTGTATGCTGATCTAAATTTTTATGTCCATTCCAGTATGGAATTCCAGTATTATTTTGTAGGTAAGAACCCTTAATGTTTGGAAACCACGCTGTTCCAAAACCTTAACGTAATGTTGTTTCCTACAATTCAAAGCAGAAATGTCCTAAATGTTTTGGCACACTGTCCTTTCTTCGTAGCCAAACTAATTATTACTGGATATTCTCCTTCAATTGATGCTTCCAGTGTTTATGATCAATTATCCATGTCCTGAGACAGCAATCTAGACTGTCACGCCATGTTGTTTAAAGGCCTTGCTAGTTTTACACCAGCTGTAGAGGAATATGCAGATTCAACAAGTTTAGAATTATGTCTTCCTGGTCCGCAGAGTTTTTCTTTAAAGGCCTCAGGTATCATCAAGATGATGTATCGCATACTGTATTTGACTCAGAGCCTTTTTTTTGTAATTTTCGGTCAGTATTATTAATCATTGTGAAACTCCCTGTTTTGTGGCATTTTTGACTTTTTTTCCCCCAGTTTTCACAGTGCTACACAAACTAGCAGATAGTGTCCACTTCCTATAGCACTTTTTGGAAGTATTTAAGTGGTATTATAAAATACAAACAAAGGCTTTTGTTCTTTAGATTGATACTGAGTAAAATGTTGCTTAAGCTACAATATGAAGTAAAACATGAAAAAGAAGGCTTGCCTAAAGTTGAATGTTGTATCAGCACTGAATCATGGCTCTGCAGACATGATTGAATAAATAGGAATTATACTTTAATTGTTTATATCTCTTAATTGAGTTTCTATGTAACAACAGTGTGAAAAGTACGCTTAGTGTTTTTAATAATATTTGTGCAGATGTGGAGTTCTTAATGCAGCCCTGTCTTGAAAATAATAAGGTTTTATTGCAGCACTATGCAATATTTCAGTTTCTTTTTTTTTTGTTTTTTGTTTTTTTCTAATTGTAATTTGAATATTGAATTGAGTAGTGAAGTTTTATCCCCAGTTGATCAAGCTGGAAGCTAAGAGTGTTTCATTCATCCGTGCATTGCCAAATAAAGGAAGTGAGATACTAAGGACACAAAATATCCTGGCATTTCAGCACTTACTGGGGTTTAATTTTGCAAAGAGCTGGCTCCAATTTTACATGCATGTCATTTGATTACTCCAACATTTTAAGGTCATGCTAATTCCGATAAAGTACCTTACTAGTTTATGCATCAATGTCTCTGAATTTTCTGTTTGCATTATAGATTAAATACTTGTTTACTAACTTTTCTTTATTATTCTCTTCTCCATTTTCCCCACATATATTGAAGCCTCTTCTTTGCATCAGTCTCCTTGTTCTTGTGCTTCTACCACTGTCACTCTGCTGTGACAAAAACTTATCGGCATTTCAAGACCTTAGTATGATTTTACCAGCACAAATGGAAAATATTGTAAGTATCAATGAGTTCATAGCATTTTATGGATGTTGTATATGAAAGAGTGACAAAAATCTCACTGAACAAGCAAAACATATTTCAATTATTTAAGACTTTTGTGTCAATGTTTGTTTATTTTGAGATTAGGTAATTAAACTTTCCAGAAAGATACAAACGAATCATCCTTTTTTTGATGTTGTAAATTGGAAGATTTATTACTAAATCTCCAAAAGTAATATCCTTTTTTTTTTATTATTACTGCATATTTATTATTTTTTGTAAAAACCCTTGTGATGGTTATAATCAGTAATTGTTGTTTTTCTAATGAAATAAAACGAAAATGAAATTTTCAAGACCCAGTTAGAAAAACTCTAAATACAAGTAGACACGTTGGAACAAATATGCTAAAACTGAAGATGAGACTCTAACAACAGCATAGGTAACCTAATATTAGAAGAGTCTATGGTGTGTGTGTGTGTGTGTGTGTGTGTGTAACTAGTGACTAGTTACCTGTTATGAAAGCGAGTAAACCAAGACAAGGTAAGAAAACAAACTAACTGTTACTTTTTAATTTATTTAAGAGGAAAAATCTGACAAAGGAACTGAAAGACATATCCTGCCAAGAGCTGAAAAACAAAGTGCCAAACTGTACGGTGCAAACAGAGGAAGCTGTGAGTATAACTTCAGTTAGAGATTTGGGCACACCTTCTATCCTCCTTCAGGCGTGCCTGATCTTTTGACTGTGACACTACAACCCAGTTTTTGTAATTCCTTTTTTTTCCTTCCTCCTTAAAGTATGCAGACCTTAAGAAACAGAAACAATCTGTACAAAGGAGCCCTGTTTCTGTAATACAAGCAGAAAGTTTTTTAGTGAAGTTGCTGATATATAATTGAATGCAAGTGTCCAAACCATCATCTTCTACACAGTTACTTTTTCTATTTATTGTAGGTTAACATAAAGTGGGGACTAGCAAAATGAATGCAGATCTCACTTTCTTGCAGAAATATTCGCAGTGACTCACATATGATTTTCCTGCAGGATATTATGGAAACCCTGTTCTTGCAAGCCTGTGATATGTTTCGTCTAAAACTACAACCGATGAAAACAATGGCTGAAGTTGTCCAGACGTCATTAAAGCGCCACTGTCCTGTAAGTGCCCAAAGAGGAAATCAAACATGAGAATGTTTTTTTTTTTTTTTTCTCCCATGTGTTGATCTCTTCATGAGATGTGGAATTTATAATATTCAAAGGAATGTTGGCAGGCTATTATGTTTCCTTTTGTCAGGTAGAGGGTGACTCATCGTTCCTTAGTCATATGTTACTGGTTCATTTTCATCATGCATATGAACTGGCTTTTTGCTGCTTTGAACTAGGTAGAAAACATCCAATTCTCAGCTGGAAACTGAGAATCATGTGATTGTTGCATTTTATGTTTTCCTTTTATGTCGCCTTTAATTGTCTTCTGACTTTAGCTGCTGTACAAGAAAATGTGAAACAGCACTCTAAGGTTCTTCCTGGACTTAATGAAGCCAAGATCACGTTTTAGCAAAATGCTACTAATGGTTCCTCCTCTCACTAACAACCTTAGAGGACTGGTTTTCCACATTTTTTCTTGTGCATTAACTCTAGCACCGTGCACCAACCGGCTCTGTCCTTTTTTTTCTTTTTGGAGTTGTGCGCACTTGGTTTACTTGAATTGTTGACTTACTCTTATAATTAAAAGTTAACATACAAGCATGGTTTTTAACTAACACATGGTGGAAAATGTCTCCTGTTGTCCCTTGATAACCTTTATTTACACTACTCTCAAGCACACTGTTTTCGCTGTGCAGAATTTCTATGAGATTTGATGATGCAGCCTCATTGTTGAAGTCTGAGTCATGAGCTTTAGCAAAGTCAAAGCCTTTGTACTTCAACAGGCTTTGTACTATTGCCTCACATTGTGGCATGGTTTAAGGACTTCTTTATTTGATCTTAGACTAATTTATGTATTGCTGTTTGGATTAACGCAGCTGATTTATAAGGTAGAATAATCCTGACCTTGTTGGTTGATTTAATCAGCCAGATATCCCTTTCTATTTTTGTCTGTGAGAGTAAGAAATGTATGAATAAAACCCTTTATGTTTTATTCCAGTAGAATGATCATATATTACCTTTTTCTTTTTTTTACTACCTTCATCAATAAGTATGTTTTCAGTTTTGTTTGGTGGGTTTGTTGGTTAGCAGGATTAGTTGAAAAGTTCTGAACAGATTTTGATGACGTTTTTAACGGGGGTGTGCGTTGTGCCAAGGAATGATTCATTACATTTTAGTGATGATCCAGATCATTAATCCAAGTATAGGAAATTTTTAAAGTATAGTTTGTGAGATACAGTATGGATATTTGGAGGAACAAGCTGTTCCCCTAAGAACCAGAGCAACTGTGACCATTGACAGCTTCAGCATCTGATCAAAAAGTCCTGAATTATTATTCTGAAAAAGTCAAAGTCTTTATTTGCTGATCAACAAATAAAGCACAGTGCAGATCAAATGAAGAAGGTGAGAGCGGAACAGGCACCAATGAAACACGCCTTTTCTTGCTTGTAGACAGATTTTAAGGACATTTTTCAGAGGAGCGCCTCACGCCAAGGAACAATTCATTTAAACCTGGAAATGATCCAGGTAATGAGCGAGGAGATAGCTATAGCAAGTCCTAATTTGTGGCAAACTATGCGGCTCTGAGTGCTCTTGTGAATTCAGTTTTTGCTTTATTTGTTTTTACTGATATTATCTAAACTTTGCTTTATCTACGTATATAGCACTTTGGCCTCTGTGTATGTTTTAGGTGCTCTATAATCAAAGTGGATTGTTTTGGATAGGCATCCGTATGAAGTTCTCGTCTGGGGTAAAAACTCAGCAGTTGACAAAATAAAACAGGTAAAAGATAAAGTATGTATAGTGCTGCAAAATATCGGTTGTCTTTGGATTACCTTTAATTACCTTTAATTCCTCATTTAAATTTTTCATATGCTACAAAATACCTAAATAGTTTTTTTTCTAATAGGGAAAGGTATATTGACCTTCTTTCAGTCAGCTGGCTGGCAGTGGTGGAGGACAGGGAGGAGCAGTGCTACCTAACTCTATTATCTATACAAGTCTTTGGCATCTCATTAAAAAGGAACGTTTGTGGGAATGGTACGGCATTTTCACATTTTCCAAACCACAGAGCTGCTGATACATGGTTTTCTGTAATGCATTGTAGGCTGCACTATTAAAAAATTTAACTTTAAAGCTGAAAAGATTTTTAGGAAAACCAAAATTCCCTGTTTTTTGCCTTTGATTCTCTGCTAGTCGCAGGCGTCTGCATTTGGTTCATGTTTTTCTACCACATATGCTACATTTGCTGTAATGTCACCTTACACAATAATATTTCCAACCATGCTAAACATTAACTTTTCTTTTTTTTCTTGTCATTTCCATTACCTGTAATATGTTGCTTATACCTGACAGACAATACCACATGCGTATAAGAGCGGTACAAGGGCCGTCATGCGCAAAAGTAAACGCAATGAAATATGCGTCTAACTGCCTAACTGAAGCTATTTATTGCGTGAACAGCTGCTGTGTGGCAAACATAAAAAAAAAGACAAAGGAAATTCTTTGTTGTGTTTTTGAGAGATCTGACTGCCATTTCACCACATTTAACTGTGTGGATGCTGAGACCCAGAGAGCAATGATGGAGCAGGGATGTTAACAACTTTCCAGATTAAATTTATGCAGCACTTAAACATTTCAAAGCAGCTTTTAATCATATATGTCAGCACCTTTCCTCTCAACTCCAAAGGTAGAACACTAGATGCACCCCAGTGTATGGGACTGCAACAAGTGCAGATTATCATATGCCTCTATACGTCCTCTAACTACTACCACTTCTTACTGGGTTGCACAAAGTTGTGACAAATGCGACTTAGCCTTTGTCGTTCCTAGTGGAGACACTTTACAAAAGATCAGATACAAATTGGATTCAGAACCAACATATGAATATCGCACACGTGTGACCTGGAAATGCTGACCAGATCTAATGTTTATTAGTGCAAACAGAGCATCCGCATAGCACAGAGTGAAACAATGTTATTACAGAGTCAGTGCTGAGTTACCTGAATAGAAGCTGTAGTAATCATGTATAAGTGTTGCATATTTGCAGTTGCATACATGGGCAATTTGCAGTTTTCCAACATGCCCACAAAATCCAAGGCCCCCGTATTTGTTGAGAGATTCATTTAAGTATGCAGAGGTTTCAAACATGTATACAACACTGCAATAGATATTTCTGTAAAAAGCGAGACAGATTCTAGCTTATGTCTAAAATGTAGATATTCTTAGATTGGTAATGTTAAGACAATTTTTAAACTACACATTTGGTGTGTATGTATGTCCATTTTCCCTCTAGACTCATTTGTATCTCTATTTTTATTTAACAGACAAAACACCCCAGGTTACACAGAGGGGCGACGCCAAGAAACCGAGCAGGGAAGAAGATGAGAAAACTTTGCAAAGCTAATGCAATTCTGTCTTCCATGACTGTGTGCTACGAGAAGCTGAACATGCTATGCAGGACATGAGACCAAAACAAAAGAAAAGCTGCTGTCGGTCTCTCTGCACTGTGCTGTCGTTTCGGATTATGCAAGAAAAAGCTTCCAGTTAATTCAAGCTTTCCTGTAAAGTATCAGTGTATCCGTCTTGCTGCTGCTTTGGGTGTTGCACGACTTCTGACTCTTGAGATCAGTTTCCAAGCTAAACAGAAACAAGTCACAAGCCAAATGAAACAGAACTGCTCTTCCAAGTCTGACAGACTGAACTTTCTCACGGTGTGTGAAGGAGGAGCCTTGAGCTTTATGTTTCAGGTGCTGCAAAGAGGAACTTATACAAAAGGCATTTGAAAACAATAAGACAGTGGTTTAAGATGTGTTCATTGAATAACCTATTTCAGAAGATTAAGTTAAAAAGAAGCATTGGTGTTTTTACTTTCGGGAAAACAACCTGGAAATATGGTGTTCAAATGAAGTTTTGCTTTCACTTTGGAAAAGAATGGCCTGACTAGTCCCAACATATTTTTGTTATCTCTGTTATCTGTAGCCGGTTGTTTTGGGCCATTTCACGTCATCAGCGCTGTCTTCAGTGACAATGTGTTCATTACCTGCTTGCAATGATTGATATATTAAAAGCATATTTTACCACAGATGGCTGAGTGCAGCTCAGAGGCCTTATTACTTATGTGGGAGACATCGAAGAGGCCTTTCCCACAAGTTTAACTTGTGTTTAATGATACCTTTGTCAGTAAAAAAAAAAAGACAAGTCATGCTCAACCAGCAGATGTGTAGTATTTGTATGAGAAATGTAAAATAATAATAATGTAGGAATTCAGCCTTTGCTCTTTTTCTCTACTACTACTCTCATTGCTTCTTTTTTTCAAAGGTACTTTAATGTAGCATTTTAACCAGATGAAAGGTTCATTTCTAAGTATATATATATATATATATGTTGTATATGAGATTTCATTGGTTTCCCCTTCTATATTTATAATTAAAGATTTGTTTGTACCTATGACTCTAAATAATTTACTATAACATCCTTTAATTAAGCCCAAAAGGTCTTAGAAGCAAAATACGCATGAAATTACATATGTGAATTAAAGCAATTGTTTGCATTTGTTTTCTGTTTGTTAGAAAGGCATTGAGGAATATTTTTTTAGGTGGAACCACTATTTTAAATGTCACCAACTCTGATTTATTGATGACTAAACAAAGAGAAAAAAAAATATTTCGCCTTTTTTTTCCTAAATAAACACTGCAAAACACCATGAAACCCTATTTGAAACTCTGGATGAAGCCTCAGACTTTAAAGATCCTCATCTTGACTATAACTCAAGCAAATTTGGAACAAATTAGTTGAAGCATATTCGTTCCACAAAGGTTTTAGTGAGCAGTATGCTAGGTGGAAATGTGATTTTGGCAAAGTGGTGCCAAAAGTGGCCAAATTGTGCCAAATGCATTTTTCCACTCATAAAAGGGAATCTGGCCAGACAAATATGCTGATTTACATTATTGGAGACTTTATGCATAAGGCAAAACCTTCGCTCCTAAGATCTAGCCATTGTTTCATTGAAATTTACAACTGAACACACAATTCATCCTCTGACATGGGAGCTGGCTCAGAGCTCGTCTGCCTGGCTGTGTGTTTCCTGGACGGGGCCGCCTTTTACAGCTGCTTTTTATGTCTCTGCAGCTGCTTTTTGTATCTCTGCTTCTGTCTCCTTGAACTCCAGTTGGCCTCTGCAGATGGCCGCTCACACTGAGCCTGGTTCTGCTGGAGGTTTCTTCCTGTTAAAAGGGAGATTTTCCCTCTCCACTGTCGCTACAAGCATGCTTAGTGTGAGGGATCGTATTTGAGTCAATGCAATCAACCGGTTTTCCTTAGATAGAAAACTTTGAATCAATTTGACTGTATGGTCTGGTGAACTGTAAAGTGCCTTGAGATGACTTGTGTTGTGAATTGGCGCTATATAAATAAACTGAATTGAATTATATTACCAAACTGACTAGAAAATAAGAATAACACAGCAATCTTATGTAACGCGTGCTGGTTACATCACCTGAAATGGTCTCACATACCTCCTTGGAAAGGTCTGAGCCTCTAGTTTCCAAAGATACTTGCCATTGGGGGGTGGGGCTAAAAATGAATACCTGCTGTTACATTACTCCCGCAGTCACACAAGTCAGGTGGAATTTGTGAAAAGTATGTTTTAGAATTTTTAAAGCCCAATTTGAAAGGCATGTGGATGAAACATGTGACTGTGTTTAGGTCATTTCTATAAATAGATTTACATGAGCAGGTATCAGATGGGCCCAGTACCGGGCCGCTGGGCTCAAGGGGTTAAGGCCTCCATTTTCTTATGCAACACTCAGAAAGGAAAACCAATCTCTTTAAAGACATTTATTGATGTTTGATATACATAGCAACAAGCGCACAACCAGATATAGTGTTAAATGCTGCTAACAGAGCGAAAAAAATCCAACATGTTTGGTTTATTTAAATATTTCTAATTTTATTACATGTTAATTTTTATTATTGTAAAAAAAAAAGAACAAATAGTTTAGGCAGAACTCACAAACATAGACTGAACTATAATGGGCTTAATAGTGACTACAAGAGGAATTTAAAAAAGTTGCAATGCATTTACATGTTTTAAACAAATTTAAATAAACACGGAGACAAAATCCTCAAATCAGTTCGTAAAAATGAAATCAATTAAGAAAATAAATAAACGCTACCATATAAAACAATGAAAAAGAGAGGGAAAGATTCAATGCTACATTTGTCTTTAACTGTAGTATTATTGGACATTTTGCCACTAAAGTAAAATTAAATAGAGCGCTAAGCTTTTATATCTAATTTGTATTAGGAGTAGCCCCTGTCTAGATAAGAAGTGATATGCTACAACCTTTTTTTTTTCCATTTTAAAAGCGAAGCTGCTTCTTCTTCAGTAGTCAGTGATATTGCACTTTTATATGAAAACCTATTTTTAGAGCGGAAAACTAAAAGAGTTTCAGGTTGGGACAGAAATTAAAGGGTAAATCAAACCCATCTCCAACAAGCTGCACCTCATCTTATTTTTGCAATTGTGCAAAATACTTCTAAACGTGGATTTTCACACATTTGATCATCTCAGGATAGTAACGTTACTCACATACATGAGAAGAGTTTTGCAAGTTCAGCAGTGAGAGCAAAGCTAGGATAATTTGGTTAGGATCTGCGCTCAGACAAAACAATCTAGTTGGGACTGTTGTCTTGTGCACAGGGCTTTAGCTGTGCCCTCCAGCAACCAAAAAAAAAAGAAAATCCAGCAGGGTGTGTGAAATCAAAAATGGAAAATGTATTTTTTTTCTTCATTGTTTATCAGCTTTGGTGATATTCCTAACTGCAAATTGAGCACAGGTGCATCCCAACTTTCCTCTCCCTTCTCTGACTTTTGACCTCCATCAGATAC